TTGAGCTGGAAAAGTGTTTTCCTCTTCACTATTTAATTATTTATTCATATTAATAACCTTTAACATTCCCAAAGACACAACTCTTTGTTGAAAGTCAAATTCCCAATCGCAGAGATAAATCTATTTTTTCTAAATCTAAATCCAAATTTAAATATGAATGCAATTATGGAAAAACTCCATAAATCAAGTCTCCCATGAACCGTATGTCGTTTAAGCTGTCGAATGCTCTCGAATGGTAATTTATCACCTGGTATCACAGTTAAATAAATTAAGCAGGACGTACTCCCCACCCAAATAAATAAAAATAAACAAAATATCTTTATGCACCCCTCAAACTCAAGTCAGATTAAATCTTTGTAGCCCGGACAATATCTTCATTAAACGATTGGTTCTACAAGGTAATCTGGCAGGTGATTCTCGTAGCGAGTTGTTGTTAATCTCGGTGTTAACTTAATCCGAACTTCATTTACACAGAAGACTCCTAGATGGCAGAGGCATCGGATCAATGGTTGATTTTAACCTTTGTGCGGTTGTGTTAACAACTCCACTGACAACTTGTGGCATTACTGGCCGAAGGAGGAGGGAGGGGGGGATTTTCCATTGTTGACCCACATTGGTCCCCAGAATTGTTATGGTAATTTACAACCTCCAGTTAAATATTTCAGCTGCACCCAACTGCAGCCCGCTGTGCGGTTGTTTATACGCGTCTACTTGAATTGTGATCGAGTTGACAGTAGCACAAATTTTGATTGATGACGCCTGATTGACATTCGGGCAATTTGCTAATTCTATTTCGACTCCCAGCCAGAAATTGTGTCGTTTCTTTTTTGTGGGTCACTCTGTGGTTTCTTTGGGTTGGGAACATTTCTTGCACTAAAGCGATCATTAATCATAATGAATGCGAGTGCAATTGCCATCAGTCTGAGGTAGTCATTGAAGGGGCTGCCTTATGCTATTTATGCTATTTGCTAACTGCCAGATGTTAGCCGTTGCTAACAAGTAAATTAATAAGAATTATGTATGCTGGGTGGCTGTTAGGAGCGTAAACTTTAATTAACTTGGGCTGTCAGGTCGAGTCGGGGCGATTAACATACGCGCATGCCTATCAAGTGTCTGCCATCAGTCTATAAAAATGGAAAAAACACGCGTATGTTGTATATATGTATATATATATTCACTCGATTCCAGCTCCAGCCAAGGCACTCAAAGTCAAAGTGGAGCGGCAGCGGTTTCAACTAATTGAAATGCATTGAAAGTGCGTGAGACCAGTAACTGCAACTGAAATTGCATTGTGGATGCACTTGGGGAAAATGGGGTATATTATATCAATTTTGCATTGAATTTACATAAAGTCTGACAAGGTTTATAAGGTCTCAAAAATAAACTGTTTGGGTTAAATTATAAAGCAAATTCAGTCACTTTTTGCAAGTACATTTCACCTCTAATTAATTTATATTTAATAGGATATATTTCCAAGTGTAATAACAAGCTGATATGAATGTTGCTGCAGCTGCGTGTGAAATGTCAAGCGATTCAGACTTCGGCTAGTTGACATTTGCCAGTTTCGTTGCCTGAAAACCACAACTTAATTACTCCCGTTCGATCGTTCCCGAAAATTGTAACATCATTTATCGGCATAATGTCCAACTGCAATTATTTTGTTGCACAACAATAAAACGAAAAAAAAGTGACACTTGCCAATCTTGGACGGTGTGATGTATGACGTTGACCTGATTCCGTTTGTATTTTTATTATCATTTCCATCTGCTGCATGTTGATTTCGTCCCCGTCTCTCTGTCTGTCAGCCGTTCTGTCATTACAAACACACCTTTCCGTGACGCGCCAACCGGCAATTTGTCTTTGCCTTTGGGGCGCCGTTTATAATAATTCATTGGGAAAGCTTTGCTCATTCATATTCGGGTGTGGGCAGCAAGTTCAAAGTGTTAAGTGTGGTGTGGTCAACATGTGTGATACGCGGCGTATGCTTAATGTTGCCAGCGAATCGGATTGGTCTTCTGACACCCCAGCGAGCACAGTCAGGATGGCCGAGTGGTCTAAGGCGCTGCGTTCAGGTCGCAGTCTACTCTGTAGGCGTGGGTTCGAATCCCACTTCTGACAAGAATTTTTTGTTTCTTCATTTATGTACTTTTTCTAATTGCAAACACTTAATTATATACAGTAAAGGTATTTCTTAATTATGTAATTAAGGGAAAATCCCAAATATAAACGTAGTTTGCTGTGAGCAATTTCTCGTACTCGCTACTTTAGTAGTCAGGATGGCCGAGTGGTCTAAGGCGCTGCGTTCAGGTCGCAGTCTACTCTGTAGGCGTGGGTTCGAATCCCACTTCTGACAAGATATTTTTGCAATATTTTGCCCTTTTCTAAACTTTAAATGTTTTTTTTTATAAATATAATTATATATTTATTAACATATATTATTTTTATGCCCTTGCCGGAAGTATACTTTTATTTACAAGCTTGCAACGCTTTGAAGTAGTAATATATATTCCAGATCAGTATCAAGAGTCGAATTGATCTATTTATTTCTCTATACCTGTCTCTCTCTCTCTCTCTCTGTCTGTCTCTCTTCCTCTTTGTCTGTCTCTCTCCCTCTTTTTCTATATTTTTCGTAATGTCTAACTCTGTGTATCTCTTGCAATATCAATTTCTCCCTCTCTTTCTCTGTCTATCTCTAGAGGTATCTCTTTAGTTCTCTCTCTCACTTTCTCTGTTGTACTCTCTCCTCGGAGACTATAAATACAGGGCGCTGCTGTCGCTCTGACCTCATTCTGTGCGCGGCCTTCCCAGTGTTAACATCGCTAGTGGTAGTGATAGTGTTTGGCCTTCGACTCCACCTGACCAATGCAATGGAAAATAAGGAAATGGAGAAGTAGTTGCTTTCTTTGATCTATATAATGTCTCCCCTCAATAATAATATAAACAATTAGGTTTTCTATATTTATTCTCTAATTTTCTTAATTAATCAATTTATTAGAATCATTTTCTTGGTAACAAAGTGTAAATTCACACTCGTTACTTTCGTGGTCAGGATGGCCGAGTGGTCTAAGGCGCTGCGTTCAGGTCGCAGTCTACTCTGTAGGCGTGGGTTCGAATCCCACTTCTGACAAAATTATTTTGCTGCTGCCACACTTTTACTTTTTGCATCTCTAAGAATCCTGAAACAATGATCTCCATTTATTTGGTTAATCAATAAGCTGGAATCGACCAAACACTCTTCTCAGGGGCGCCATAAAAATTACAAGTAAATCAATTTGTAGCCGCCTAATTGTCAATATTCCAATCACATAATCGGCTGCCAGTCAACGATTGCCCCCGGCTGTCGGGCAGACAGATATAGATATAGACATGGAGACCACACACACACACACAACCCCCCCCCCCCCCCCTGGTCCGATCTGATCCGAATCCCATGAGAATTATCGTCGTCTGGCATCGCTGCGAACACACAACTTCAAGTCAGAGTCGGACTCATACCCATTCGGCTCAATCAGACACTGAAATTAAAATGCTGACTGAGCGCGATTTCCAGATGCGGCCCACACTCAGTAGTTGTGGTTCTTCCACAATTGTTCTTGGGAAAACAGATCAGGACCATCTGTAATTATGCTTCTCTGTGCGCTCGTAAAATGCAATCAACTGGCCACAGACAATTGACAATTTGGTCAGCTACAAAAGCAAACAAATTATACACAAATTTTTTGATATAAAAAAAAGCATCATTAAATTGTAGTTGTTAAAGTTTTTATTGCATTTGTTTTAGCACTAGCTTTGGCTTTGGAAAATTAAGGCGGGTCTGGCCATAACCAGGGAATGGGTCAATTGACAGGCGACAGAAGCTGCAATTTCCATCACCAGAGACAATGCAAATGGACGTCTCGGGGTTTATGAGTGATGTGACAAGTGGATGCTTATCTGCGGCTCAACGCCCCTGTTTTTTCCAAGGGGTTTTCCTCCTTCGCCTGATGAGCGGCCATTGAAATTTATGACTTCGTCGAACCGCCAATTGATTGGCTTTTAAACAGCCAAATGAATGCTGCCACTCGCAAATTGCAAAGCCATAATTAATGTCCACAAATCGCTTGAACGCAAAACGCCCGTACCAACACCTGCAGCTCTTTAAATTTTCAGTGTTTATTTATGGAAAAGCTTTTAGCACATTTTTAAAAATTAATTTGGGGATGGAGAACTTGTCGCCGCAGCAATGCTACAAATTTATTGCAGTCAGAATTGATAAGCGCAATTCCTATCTAAATGCTAATTTCTGATGGAACGCTTTAAAGTTAAATATCAATTAAATGTGCTAGTTGGTATTGGTATAGTAGTTATCTTTATTTATGATTTAGACATTTATTTTTCTTAAAATATTCTACAATGTGGGAACTAAGCATCATGTCAAGATTTTATGTTCTATAATGAGGTTTTTAAAGAGTGTTTAGATGTTAAATTTATTTATAATTAGTAGAAGTAAAGGTAGACTATTTTTATGTCCTTGCAGAGTATTGTAATTATACTCAGAATATTGTAACGCTGTGATGGATTTATTTCAGACCCTATAAATCATGTTCTATCGTGGATCATGGATATCATGGATTCTATCCTTCTTGGCATTCTAAAATTAGTTTCCAATCTTGTTTTGTAATATATTCTGCCCTTTTATTTTCTTGCAAAACGTCAATTTATTGATCACTTTCTAAAATGATTATAAAAATTAAACTTATGTTTACCTTTTAACAATTTAAATTTTTTTAAAAACAATGGTATTTTTTGGGAATTATAATTTTCTCTGATCCCTATAAGGAGTGTTCACTGTCCTGCCTTGAGCTTTTTACAGATCTCGCATAAAAAGCTACCACCCTCTTATTGGCGCTCTCTCTTGCCGAACCTGAAACCAAGCTTATGCACGCCAAAAACGAGTGCTTTGCGAGAACGCGAAGAAAGCGCCAAGCTTTCGGCTGGCAAGCGCCTTCGAGTGACGCACGCTAAGCTTTTAGACAGTCGCTGAAGTGACGTAGGGCAGAATGCAGAACAGGGCCGTAGAGCCCCCAACTAATTAATAGATTAGCAGTGATATTAAATTGGATCCCGTTGAAATCAGTCGCATTAATCGAAGCCGCCCCATCGGATTCAACGAACGACCCTCGCGTGAAAGCTTACCGGCAACGTTAGTTCTTTTGGAAAAGCACACACGTTCGAAAAGAATCTGTAACAATAAAGACAAGAGGAGGGTGTTGAGGTTATTCAACCCCACGAGTGCAGCTTCAGTGAGGCAGAAGTGACAGAGAAAGCGCAGCACAACAGGTCAAAGGTGAGTTGCGTATTTACTTAGTCATCGCAGATATTGGACAAAGAAAATTAGAAGCCGCTAATTCATTTCATGGCATTTTGTAAATGTTTGACCACGCGGGGAACGTACTGTAAGCTCCAGTTTTACCCGAAGCTTTTTCATGGCTGTGCATTTAATTGGCGCAGCTTTTTGGCTTAAACTGACTGCACCGCAAAAGCTTTGATGAAGAAAAAGATGCGAGAGAGGGATACCTAGCTCCCCAGGTTTATTCTTGCACCAAGTATAAATGTATATGTATGGATGTATATATAATTTATATACTTATGTATATTTTTAAAAGAAATATCTCTGTGTAATTTGTACACATTTTCCAAATAATTGCATTTAGTGCTTCCCTTGCTTAAGATCTTTTTAACGCTTAAAGATGTTCCATGTATTTGATCTCAAAAGGTATCTACAAGATAAGATAAGACAAATTATTATCAAAGATTAGGCAATCAATTTTTAATGACCTTTAAGGAAGATTTCAAGTAACTTTTCTGATAAAGTAAGAAGTGCATTTTAGAACTTGACGACCTAGGGTATTATTTCATTTGACGAAAGACCTGAATTGAATTTCTATACCATTGAATTTCGATTCGTTTTGAAAATCTGGAATTTTGGAAATATTCATCTTCTTTTCAGCATGAGTAATTTGCGAATTTGCCAGGCCATGTCCCTGAATCCCAAGGTATCCTTAACCAAATCTGCACCTGGATCGGAATCTGTATCCTCGAGGGTCTGTATTATGGGCTGCCAGCTGGAAAATCCCAAGGAACTGCGACGCTTTCCCGTCCATGATCCCCATCGGTGAGAATTAACAAGAACAACAAGCTCCCTGAGGGCTCTTCCAGAGCTCAGTTTAAACCTGTTATATATCCAGTAGATAGAGAGAGAGAGGAAGCTTTTCGATCCGATCGAAGCTCGTATCAGAATTAATGCCATTCGCAATTCCCGGTTCCCATCAAATCAGAAGCTTTGGCCTCCGCTCAGCTCTTCCCCTTGCCTTTCCCCCCACCCCCAGCTCCTCCTGCTCGCTGGTTCTCAGTCAAAGGCCATTGAACTTGCGCGCTTGTTGTCCGCCTGGAAATGCATCGTTTTTAATAGGGAAACATTTCAATGCCATGGTGCAGAAACTGCAGCTAAAAAAGCAATTCCATGGATGATGCCGCCATTATGGGGGAGTGTAGAAGTGGGAGTCGGGGTCGGGGTCGGGTTCGGGGTGTTTTTCGCAGACTCGCGTCTATTTTTAACTCTCACGCTCTCCCGTAAATGCAGCAAATGCGTGAGGGAGAGAGTACACCACCCTCCACCCCCACCGCCCCAGATGCACCGCGCTCTGCTCTGCTGGCCGTGAAGTTCTTTCATTTTTTCTTCGTCTCTAGTTTCGCAGCAAACAGTTCCGTCTACCAAAGTTATTTGGCATTGGCCATGGAGTTTAGGGTGGACCAGTTGATTAGTTATTGATTAAAATATCGTAAAGTATAGAAATTTAAACCCTTCATATTATTCTTCTATATTGCTAGAAAGCTTTTGTTACAAAATATTCAAAGTCATTCCTTTATTTATTAATTTTGGTATTCTTTAAAGTGAACTTTGATACCGTCGCTAATCTAGCTGACATTGAACAGTTCCCTATTTTTATTATCAAAAACCACCTACTCACTTTCATCATCTAAAATATACGTTTTTGTTGACATTTCAAAAATGTACTTAACTTGAGATAAGAAACTGAGATTAGAAAGGCTTTTTTGTGTGATTCATTATCTTTATAAGCTTTTGATTGTTCTTAGAGCGTGGGAAAAATATTTCAATAGAGCTATCAATGGTTTTCTTTAGTGAAAAAGGGTTTATATTTATTATATTTAAAATTTTATCAAATTGAAATATAATACATTTTTTAAAATAGTTAAATCTTCATAAAAAACCATATATCTACTAGTACGTTATTTACGAGGTAGCTAAAAACAAAGTATCTAAATTAACTGCAACTCCTAAAATTGGGCACACCCTAATATGCTTCCATTAAAACGAGTAGCAAAACAATAACAACAAAACAGGAGGAAGTTGACTTGAGCAGAAGCTGCAACAGCAACAACAACAACAACAACGACAACAACAACAAGAACCAATGCAATTGCAATAACAAACTCGCGGCAAAACATCCGCTCTGGCGGAAAGAGCGAGCGAAAGCACAACACTATCTCCCTCGCACAACTCTAGTAGCAGAACACCGTGTGTGTGTGTGTGTGTGTGCGAATGAAAGGCACCTGTGGGGAGCATAAATAAGAAGCTTTTTGCAGAACTTTCGAGAGAGAGAGAGCGTGTAGCAAGTCGGATCTAATTGAAAGCTGCAGCGGAAAAAGAACACAACTCCAAATGCAGTTTTCCAGTAAACAAAGAACCGCTCAACCGATCGCAACGCTCTCTGGCCAACGCACGCTCTTTCTTCCCAATAATTGGTATATTTGTGAGTTTGCAGAACGGAGTGCTAGCTGATGTTGTGGTTGTTTTTTATAAATGACAGAAGAGCTTTCCTGGAATCCAAAGAATTGAACTGAGCTTTTTTTATAGCTCCGGAGCGATTTAAATTGTGGAAATTCATTCAATTGCAGCTGCCAACTCTGGCTGCGTCACTTTGGCATCAACGAGAAACGCTTGGATCAGCTCGGCGGCCTGCAAAAGCTGCGCATCTGCCTCAGGCATTTTAGCCAACGCGAAGAGATGGCCAAAACCCGCATCAAGATGACGCCGTTGCGCAAAAGTACCAAGGGAATAATGCTAACCAATAATTCGGGGTCTTTTGGAAGCATGGGAACAGCAGGAGGAATAGCAGCGGGAGGAGGAGGAGGTGCAGCCAAGATGGTGGTGAATAGCAATGCCATACAAATTGAAGAGGTGAGTTTGGTCAACAATTTTGTTAGAAACTTTATCAATATTTATATAAATTATATTTTGTAATTGCAGAAACTAATCAGAGATGTGGATAAACCACAGCATCAGACCAAGAAACCATTGACTATTATGCCCACTATGCCGCAGCGTTCCCATTCAATTAGTTCCTCGGCCTCCAGTGATGTCCAGTCCATCAATTCAGACTACGAGGCGTCATTGCCACTGTCCACCTTGGTGGTGGATAACCCAAATGGGAATAACAATCGCATTGAGAATGGACAATCGAAGAAAAGGAAACTGTATCTTATTACAGAGAAATCCGATGAAACCAATGGCCATATTTTGGAGACCAATGGACAGCCGAAAAAGCGCAAGATGTTCGTGGTCGTAGAGCAGGAGAAGGAGTCATCGACTGGCAAGAAACTAATGATAGTGACTGATAAGCCACAGGCTGATCTCACCCAGCATTTGGAGAAGTTGCTGCCGGAGATCTTGAATCGCATACAGGACAAGGATAAGCAAAAGCTAATCAAACCCACACCAGTGGTGGTGAAATCCAAACCGGTGGTTGTTAACAACCCGACAATTATCACTAAACCCCACATCACATTGCCGCCCAAAAAGAATCCCACAAATTTTGTGAAGCTGGAAGCGAGTCCTGTGCCCTCAAACGCCGTTCAAATGCCACTCCCAATGCAGAATAGCAAGCCCAAGGCTATGGAGGAGGAGGAATCACTTAATCCTGAAGAGATTGAGACTAATATTAATCTGTCGCCGGATTTCCGTTTCCTTATGAAGATCCTGCCCAAATTGGAGCAGTTGCCTGAGCCGCACAAACAGAATGTGAAGCGTTCCATTCAGATTTTTGTGGAGAAAAGCTACAGTATCTATGGCAAAAAGGATTAATCCAATCGATTAAGCAGTATTGAAACTATGATTTCATTTCCATACGAGTTTCCCCCATTATCAGAAAACCATTTTTCATTACATTTGTCCAAGACTGAAGCAGAACCAATATTAATTATTTAAGACAGTTTATGCGGAACTGAAGCAGCTCCTAATTCAGATATCGATCCATAAAATTTGATATCCATAAAATTTGATAGATATTACCCGAATAATTGGCGATTTCTGGGTAGATTTTGAAAGCCATAAAAATGTAAATCTTAAGATTGAAGTTCTTTCTATATTGAATATATGAAAGCAATTTGCTAATTAAGCATTAAAACTAAATGAGTTTTTACTTGGGGAAGTAATTAAGCAAACCTAGAGCCCATTTAATAAACAAAACACCTTGATTTCTTTTATCGTATCTTTTTGTTTTTTTTGGTTTGTTATGTTTTTTTTTTTTGCATTGTAATTCCAAAGAACTTTATTTAGTTTGAAAGCATTTTTTACGATCTCATCCATTCTTTTCTCGTTTGTTTACGTTATAATAATATTTAGTAAGTCTAATGCGGGTTTATTTAGTGTGTGGTTTTAGTTAATACAATGGTTAGTGTGTGTTTCATTACGATTTTCGTGTATGTGTGTAAATTATGCAAGTTTCTCGATTTTCGGCATCTTTCGATGGCATTTATTTTCTAATTTACACATTCTTCTTGCTGACAAAAGTTAGTAAGTTGGCTTAGTATCGTTTTCGTTTTCGTTAGTAATGCTAATGTGGCTAAATGTGGTTAATACGCACACACAACACACATATATGCATATGGGTTAATTACATATATACAGTTAAACAATTGATGTTTAAACAACACTTTGCTTTTGCGAATCGAGGAAACCAAAATTGTGTGTGTTTTCTTTTGTGTGACCTTTAATTATTAGGGAACTTTGTTGCGTGCTTTTTTTACTGGATGATGAGGAGATTTTCTACATGAGAGGAGAATTTTAATTCCATTTCGAGTGCTACATATATTTATAATAATATATTCTTTTTACAACATTTATCAAATTTTCCCACACATAAACTCGTATATTCGTATATTTTCGGTTAAGCTTTTTTGCCTTCGATTTATAGTTTTCATATATATATATATATATATATGTATATATTTCGTGTTTGTTAACTACTTTTTTTGGTTGTGGCCTACAATTAGCATTTGGGATTAGCGTATCGAGTGGTTTGTTTTTACATGCTTTTTTTATAAGAAAAAATATTTGCCTTTCTACCGAAACATTTATGTCAATCATCCTTAATCCTTCATCAATGAGAAGCAATCACAAAGTTTTTCTCTACGTCGATTACAATAGGTATTTACATAGTATTTTTTTGAGTGTTCTGGAGTGTCCTGGGTTTAGTAAGCAAAACTACATGCTACTTTTTTTGCGGTCCAGATGAAAATGCTCCTCGTTGGATTTACACATCGAGTTAATCATGGGATACTACCAAGTGTGTGTGTTTTCGGGTTAAAAAAACTGTGTCACAATTTCTACAAACAGCCTTTTGTTAAACATGTTAAACGTACATTTATTAATACGAATATCTGTTGTATCTGTTAGCAAATTAGAGATATATATCGTTATATAAGTATTATTTAGTTTTTTACATTTTATAACCTGAGCGCAATCATTTTTTTAAGGTTCACTCTACCAATTCGTGACCAAAAAATTTCAAATTTCGAATGTTTTTCTTTCCAATTGTCTTTGTTCCATCATCTTCCTCTTACCAATTATATATATTTATACCTTCCAATACATATATATATATATTCTGGATATTATTCAAGGGTTATGCTATAAATGTGTGGGTTTACCTGTACTCTAATACAAACTTGAAGAAATCTGTAGGGTGTGTTGTTGTTTGTTTTGCTTTTAATCTCAAAATATTGTCCACAGGTAAATATCGTGTGTCCCATATATATTTATATATATATATATATCGTATATAGTTGGTTTTTCTTCACAGTGTTACATACATATAGCTATAAATTCTAATTAGCAAATGCATTGGGTTGTTGAGTTGGATCCACTTCAATTAATGCGCGTCAAATGAAACAATTTTGGATTCGTTTTCTTCTCTTTTTTTTTGTTTTGTTCTTATTTTTTTTTATACAAACAGTTTACACAGTGTTTTCTTGTTTAAACGTAAATTAATGCATAATACGTATCTAATATTTATATATATATAGTTAAGAATGATCCATAAATCGGTTTACAAGTCAAATACTATAATGCAGTTTACAGTTACAGATCCTTAACTTATGAACTCATAACTCGAACATGAAATCATACATCGCCCTAAAGTAATATATATCGAGTGTGTGTTTTATTTTAGGTATTAGGTTTTTAGGCTCTATGTTTTATGTTTTTTTTATGTTTTAGTTCCCAGACCTGCTCAAATCATCGAGGGTGTGTCGTATAATGTACATGTCCATTACTTATTGTATTCGTACTAACTTGTACTTAATGATCTACACAGAGATAGATAGTTATATATAGAGAGAGATATAGAGAAATGTGGGCTAATTATTGGTGGGGATGGTGGAGATAATGTTATGTACACGAAAACTAACTAAACCCTCCAACTGCTAAACAAATATATATATAGATATTATATTGAATAGCAGTTTTTTAAGGGTGCTTCAAATGTGCTTCAAGATGTGGGATGCAAAATGATTTATAAACTCTAACTGGCATTCGAGTGTGTGTTGTGTTGTGTGTTGTGTGCTGTGTGTGTGTCTCTCTGTTCAAATGAGGGAAATATCCTGTACTCTATATATTATTTATGGTTAAGAAAAAACATTAGTTTATAAAACAAAAGTTGAAAAGAAATTCTACATTTTTTGCACACTGATTTTCTGCCTTTTCATTTTGTTTTTCTTTTGCTATGAGATCTCCGTGAAAGTTTTGAATTCATATTTGTTTTTTCATTTTCATTTTCGTTTTTGTTTTTCGTTTATGTTTTAAGCTAATCCATATAAGTATATATATATATATATTTCGGTTAATATATATAATGCTATAATTAATAACTACATACATATACATAAGAAAGCAGCACAGTTAAGAGAATCGAAGAGTTGGAGGAAAAGTAGTTTTTCTTTTAGTTTAGGCTTTTCAGTTGCTTTAGTATCTCCTCCGATTATATTTATATATATGGTTTTTTTTGATTTCTCTAAACATTGAAGACGAAACGAGACATTCAAAATTACACTCACACACACATATATATATATTTTTTAAACGGTATACATTGCGTTTCTCATTTTTAGTTTTTTAATTTCTTTAGGTGCTTAAATTTAAGCTACATAAAACATGTTAAACCGAAAAGTTGACATTTCCATATATATTGCATTTCATCAAAAAAATAATTAATCAATCAATCGATCTGCATCTGAATCAAGGTCAAATGAGAAAACTCAGTCTTAAACATACATATCTGTATCATATATTTATATATATATATATAATGTTCTTCGTAGCAATTTGATCCTCTATAACCGATCCTGTCCTGCACCTCAGCAATGAGCATTAAGAGTGAGAGAGAGACAGAGGTGTGTGTGTGTGTGTGTATTTAAGTGTGTGTAGTTATGTCGAAATAATTAAACTATATTACATTGGTAAATCAACTAAAAGCAAAAGGTATATAAGTGTGTATATGCATTATAGCAACTAAAATCGAATTGATTCGGGCGTTGCCTTTCGAATGTTAACCAAACTTGGATGCAAAACCACCCGAACCATTCACTGGGGGCAGTGTGTCGTCCACTTGTTGGATTTTCCTTTTTTCTCAATCGTTAAATTTATGCAAAATATTCCTTAATCAAAAAAGAATCCTAACAAACTATGATCAAAGCGAAAAAATTGTCATAACTAAGGTTAAGTTGAAATTGTTTAGTTTATTATGTATTATATTATATATAGATATTAATTTATTTATATTGTAATCTTTTTTGTTCAGTCGACAGTTGAAACTTTGAACTAATTTCCCATTTTCCATCTAATATTGAGTTTAGCCCTGACTTCTTGTCAAGTCAGAGACATTTTTTTGGGAGTATATATATCTATATATATATATAAGTGTTTCTAGAAACCAGTTTCAAAATTGAAGCTTCAAAAGTTTTGTGTTGTTTGTAAAACATAAATCTTTAGATTTTCTTTTCGTTAGCTAACAGAAATTTAAATTTTCATTCCGCTTTTCGTGTTTGTTGCTCGCTTTGAGGTAAATTTTTGGCAAACAAACTTTTGTGGATTTGCGTGCAGTTCTTGTGTTACTATTTTTTATTCTTTAAATATATAGATGTATATATTTATCGATATATTTAATAGTTAAGCATATATTTTAATATATATATATAATGAATACGATGTTGTCTGTGTGTGTGTGTGTTTGCTAATTAATTTACATATACATAGAGTTTCTTTAAGCTTAAACATAAAACGCGATTTTGTGTGTTTTTTTGTATTAATTTTTAGCTTGAAATTTCGATCAAATTCTTTCAATTTTTGTCAAAAGCAACAACAAAATGTGTGTTTTGCTTTGTTGCCGAGAATATAATTTTTTGTATGTTTTTTAATATAGATTCTACGCTTTTGCTTGTAATGCGTACTAATTATGCTTTCACTTTAAACTTGCTGGTTTTGTGTCTCTGCTGCTGCTTTAACTAACAGTTTTGTTTGTTTTTTAGACTAGTTTCAGTTGAGTTACGTTACATATTTGTTTCGTCTACAGTTACTATTAAATATTTTCTGTTTTCTTTAAGTTAATTTCGGTGGTGGAATGCTTTCAACCCTTAAGCAGGCATTTAGCGCCAGCTTAAAAGCCATTTTGGCGCCTCACAAAATTCTAATTCCATCGTTGTTCCTGGCTGCATCCTTATTCGGTTGGTTTTTTTGGGGGTAGGGGATCCTGTGTGGGGTTTTTTATTTATTTATTTAATGTGGATTCGGATCTGGAGTCACCTCCTTTCTCCTTTCTTTCGGCGAGTGTGTTTATCATTTGGCTGAGTTGTTGCTTTTGTTTCGATTTTAGGCAGCAATCGCCTCATTTTGCCGTCATTCCCACTGATGAGGCGACGGCGGCAGCTCCGAAGGATGTGCCACAGTCGAGCTATATATATATATATTCATATAGAATATCGGGAAAAAAAGGATACGAAAATGCATTTTAATTTCAATTTCAAGAGATAGAAATATCTATAGCAACATCTAGATTAGTTTAGTTTAGTTTAGTTTAGTCCATGCCATACATTTATAATAATTAAATATCGATAGAAAACACACTTAAAGCTTAAAGATCAAAACACAAGGAATACAAAATATAGCTCCCATAAATAAATAATAATACAAAAAACACATCTATAACCAAAAAAACATGAAATGAAAATAATGTACAAAAAGAGAACTACAAAGAGTAGTAGAGTTTTTGGAGTAAAGGGGACTCAAAATACAAAGTAAAAGTTTTGTTAATCAATTAATTCATTAAGTGGTAAGTTGTTCAGCGATCAAATCTACTTCAGTTCTTTATTTCATCTTTTGTTTTGCTTATTTTTTCTTGATTCATTTTTATTTTCTGGCTTTGTCACTGCTGCTCAACTGCACTTGTTGTAAAGCTGTACAAAAAATATATTTTTTTGATTGATTAATTCTGTGCAGTTTTTTTTTTCAATTTGATTCTTAATGAAACCAAGCATGAGGACATTTTTTTTCTGTGTAATGCATAATTCGAGGTGTTTTTTTGAAGGGAGTTATGCAGGACGACAATGACAAAAGCTAAATGATTGCCTGATATTGTGCATTATTTATATTCTATTTAATTAATTTCTATATTTTTCATAATTGTTTTCATAGCAAAGCCTGTTTTAATAAACAATGAGTGTAGAATCCTCTTTTTGGAAGAGTAAAACTCTTTTTGAGAGGCTAAAAACAATGAATTTTTAATATTTGATAGGCTTGGCAATTGTTTTACAATGTCTATTGTTTTTGGCATTTTGTGAATCCCTTTTTTTGGCGGTGTTTTGGTGCAATTTTGGAACATGAAAATGGGGGGAAAATGGTCTGTGGGCTTAAATGTTCAAATGAGGCTTAATATTTACTTGATGGAATCTGTATGCTGTACACGAATTACAAATATATATATTTATATATGGATATATAATAGATATATGAATGTGAACACAAAACATAAACACAAAATTCGATTATGAAGCAGGGTTATATATATATTATGAATGATTTTCTATTATTTGTTGTTTAATTTTGTGGTTCGATTTGTCGGCTTTATAAAATAGTTGAAAATGTCTCGGTTTTTGTTTATAATTTTTTTTTGAGTTTTTCCTGTTTCCATTTATATCAAGTGGTTTCCTTGCCAATATTGGTTTTATATTTCTGCGACATTTGTAAACAATTTTATAACATTTCTGGTTAGATGTCCGTATTTCATTTCATTTTTTTAGGAAAACATTTATGTACACAAAAAAGAGTTACGCAAAAATACCCATTTAAAAAAAAGGAGATGAAAATAATAATTGTAAACGAAAAATGAAAAGTTAATCATAAGGGAAAAAGTTAAAACTAAATAAGTTATTTGTTTTTCTTTTGCTTTTTTATACACATTTTGCATAAGAATAAAGAGGTAAAAAAACAGAGGATATGAACAAAAAAGATGATAAACTAAATAAATAAATATTTAGTAAGGCTTTCGCTTTGATATATCAACAGACCTAAGAAGGAGCAGAGTGAGAGAGAGGCCTCTTTTCTTTTTCTGTATTCTGTATTCTGTTTATCTGTAAATTGTATCTTTTTTTTATTTCGGTTCGCGACTCCTCACACAATCATTCATTCATTCATTCGATTCGATTCGATTTGCTTCGCTTTGGTGACTCATCGATTCAGAGTCAGTAGTATCTTTGTGACAGCAAGTATCTTCTGCTTCTGCGCATATCGTTTCTATATATTTATCGTATATATATCGTATCGATCTATCGATAGACAGAGAGAGAGAGAGAGAGGAGTATCGCGCGCCTAGGATCCCGATCCCGATCCCGACCTGGAGCAGCGGCGGCAGAGTGTGGAGCAGCGGCAGGAGCAGCAGTGCAAGTTGTAGTGGTAGTAGTAGTGGTAGTGGTAGTAGTAGTAGATTTTCTCATTCTCATTGGCTTAACAACGCAAATATAACGATTCGATTTAATAGAAATTTTTTCAATATTAATATCCATTGGTTGAACAACAAAAATAAAAAAGAACAAAAAACATAAAAAAGAGATTTAAAATATTTCAAAAATTAAATAGGTTACATAAATGATAAACAAGTAAAGTTGGGTATATATATATAGAGAGAGAGAGAGTGGGTTTTGGGGACAGGTACAATAATTTAGTGGGAAATGGGGAGAGGGAGCATTACTAAAGCGGAAGTTTTAGGGGGGACACGGAAGCCATGATCAATCAATTTTTTAAATAACAAAAAAAAAGAAAAGTAAGAAATAGATATATAAAGAAAAAAGGTATACAATTTTGACTAAAAGTAAGGTACATTTCAAAAAAGTTTTGGGTTTTGGGACAAGGAGACTGCGTGCAGAGTTTTTTTTGGGGAAATTCAATGGGGTTTTTTTTAGGGGGAAAAAAACAGAAAGAATTCTTTGAGGTCTAATTGCAAGCAGCTCCTCCACTCACCTGGCAAAGCTCTTGAAGGCCGCACTCTGCGGATTAATACAGAGCGGCACTCGACCCGTTTGCAGCTGCTCGGCTATGAATTTGTGCATCTCCTCTGCAAAGTTTTTAAAGAGTTTATTAAATATATTCATGTTAATATATATACCGATTATTTACTCACCCTTGACCTGCTGCACAGAGGTTAGCTTACGCTCCCAAAGATCATCAAAGGGCTGACCAGCGGAGGGCTCAAAATCAGCTGTATATTGGCGCATTCCGGCCGAGGTAGTGAAGCAGCATTTGCACATGCATGAATGATAGCGAAGACGACCCTCATCCAGATACGGATGCGCCAAGGCATCTGTTACAGAAATGCGCTTGTCCTAAAGATGGGAAAATTATATTTAAAATGGAAAAATAACATTCACGAACAAGAGATACTAAATCAATGAATCTTAGAAGTAAACTAGGGAGTTGTGCCCCTCTAAACCTCTCTAAAATGCATTAATTATTTATATTAATTAACACAAATTGTGTAATAATAGTTTACCGGATCAAAGACGAGCATCTGGCAGAGCAGGTGCACAGCCTCGTGTGTGGCATGTGAGCTGAGTGTGTAGAGCACCGAAAACGAGGGCGGCTTGGGGGCGCGTCGCAACATATGGGTGCGTGCACCCTCGCAGGCATGCCGCATATCCTCCATGGTGGGTGTGCCCAGCAACTCGGTGATCAGCTCCAATTGCTGGACAGGATTCTGCGCCTGGAACAGGATGCGGCGACCGAGCAGCTCACCAAAAATGCAACCCACCGACCACACATCCACCGCCGAGGAGTAGTGACGAGCGCCCATTAAGATTTCGGGAGCACGATAGTACTGGGTGACCACCTCCTGGGTCATGTGCTTGGCCTGATCCGGCTCCTCGACACGCGCGAGTCCAAAGTCACAGATCTTCAGGACACAATTCGAGTTGACCAGCAAATTGCCGGGCTTAATGTCACGATGCAGGATGCGGGCCGAGTGCAGATACTTGAGGCCGCGCAGGATCTGGTAGAGGAACACCTTGATGTGGTCAGCGGATAAATGCTGCGGCGACACGATTATCTTATGCAGATCCGATTGCAGCAGCTCCGTTATCACATAGCTATAGTAATCGATTCAGAGATTCGGGGTTAAGGTGGAAACCAATTCGATAGTTCGACATGCGAAAAGAACAAACAGAAAGTTTGCAGCTAACTACTACCTCTTCCCAGACCTTGTTTTTGTTTTCTGGTTTGGTTTTGTTTGTTTGTTTGTGCTTAAAACTTTTTCAATTAGTTGCATTTGCTTTTAGTCCCAAAAACTTTTCAACTGAGACGACGCCCCAGAGAAGCCGGCACTTTGCAAAATCAAACACATTTATATACTCCTCTTTTTTTTGTTTTTTTTTTTTTTGGGTTTTGTGGGGCTTTGGAAAAGGATTAATGAAATATTTGCCGTTGATTGTTAGTGGATATATTTCTTTGGGAAACTATGATGCAAATTATGAATACGTTGCTACAACTTTTGACTATATAATAGTAAAAGGAAAGAAAGCTAACCATATACCCTTAAAGTTTGCCGATTGTATTATAGGATCATATCGAAAATAGACCAAAACTAAGCTTAAAATCTAATGCTGATCAAGAATATATATGATTTATAGGGTCGGAAATGACTCCTTCACTGAGCTACAAACTTCTGATTAAAATTCCGATCAAAGATTAAGTAGAAAAGCTAAAGTTCCTACAAATTTGGGTACTATAGCTCTTTAGTCTCTGAGATCTGTTGTTTTTCTACGGACCGACAGATGGACATTGCTAAATCGACTCGGTTGGTGATGCTGAACAAGAATATATATGCTTTATGGGGTCAGAGATGCCTAGATACATTTTCAATAGGGAATAAGTAACATTACCCTCGTAACTTATAGGAATCGGGCTTAAAAAAATAGAATATAAAATAATATTATGTATAATATAATAAAAAATTAATCTGGGTTAATTTAGACTAGAAAAAGCTTTAAGAATCTTAAACTTTTAAGTTTAGCTGCGTTTCCTTATAAACATCTTTTCCAAAAGTACCTTTCTACACCTTTAATTGAATATCAAAAACTCATTTTGATAAAAATAAAGATGTGAAAAGGGTACATAATTAATCAAAAAGTGGTAAATGGTTTCCTAAAAACCAATATTTAGTCCTATTTCTACACTTCAGCTTTAAAAGTGTTGTTATAGGTTTTTTAAGTGTTGTGCTTTTTGTAAAAGGATACATTTCTTGAAAGAAATCCAAATGCGGTGGCTGTAGAATGTCCAGGGCCGAAAGAACCTGTAAAATAAACCAAATAAAGGAGCATTAATTAATTAAATCCAACGAGGTTAATCAATATTCATATTCATATTTATATATATACACAGTTATATTCATTTTCAACCTGCAACGACGTCAGCTCGACAAGTTTAAAATGAAAATCCCTAGACAATACGTTCGGTTAACACTTTACACCTCATTTGAAAAGGGGATTACGTGGTGCTGTCGGCCCATAAATTATGGAGTTGCAATAAAAATCAAGTTGCATGTTAAGTGTCGCTGCCGGGACATTAAATGCCTGCAGACAATACAAAAAAAAAAAAAAAAACAAGAACAAAGGCAAGTCGGTAAGGAAATTGCTGACCCCTTGGCTTCCCTGATGATGTTGTACTACAAACTACGTACAAAAAAAGGCAAACCAAAGTCTGGGCTACCACATTGGGGGAGGACGCCAAGTCCAAGGAACTGAACAAGACTGACGGACAGTAGAATATAAAAAATATATACATATATATCTATGTTTAACCAGGGGTAAAAAAGCTGAGGCTAAAGCTAAAGCAGAACCAGACAGACAAGCGCTGATTTATTTTCGCTTGCGGTGAAGAGATGACGAAGGAACTGCAAGCAATCACATCAAAAACAATCTAACAGGAGGAGTAGCTTAACTCGTCACTTTTAGGGTTTTTTACACACTAAGAAAAATGCATTATATTTGGAAATTAATTTATTAAAAAGAATTTATATACGGTTACCTATGTACTATATTTTTTATATTTTACTATGCTTTAGAATATTCCAGTTATCTAACATAAATTAGCAATTGTATACTAATTTAGGTAAAAGAACCTTTAGCTTGGCAAATAAATCAATAATAAACAGTAAATATTATTAATTTATTAATTTGAATAGGATTTTAGAAGAATTTTATAAGCTATGAAAATTATAAGGTATAAAGCAGGGTTGGGCACTGAATGTCGAATTAGGAGCATGACAAAAAAGTTATTCTCTGAGGATTGCCTGTATATTGAATTTCAATTCTACAATCTAAATGTTTTATTTTCATTGTATTTAGTATTGTATTTCAATTCTAAAATATGTAGATATTGTTTTTTATTATATTATTTAATATATATCTTTATTGTATTGTATTTTCATTATATTTTGTATTGTATTTAAATTCTGCAATATCTAGTTATTGTTTTTATTGAATTTTGCTTTGTATTTTCATTCTTCGATTTTGTTTTATTACTTTTGAAGCTCTATAGCTTTATTTAAAAATTCAAATTTTAAATTTTCAATGACAAAAGTTTCTTTGTGTACATTTAAAATCAATTTACAATATTTATACAACTCCAGTTTAGTGGGGGGGGAGGGGTCTGCAAAATGCGTAAAGTGACCAACAAAAAAGAACAAGGTAAAAAAAGTAAGGAAATGGGAATAAAGAGCGCTGCAGCTAAATCCGCTGCGGCAGCAACAACAAAAAAAAATGTTGCCAGCCACAATGTTGCACATTTTAACCCCCCTCCCCTCTTCCCACCCCTCTTACCAACCAACTGGCGGCAGTTGCCAAAGCCAAAAGCAGTTCAACAATTTTGAGCACTTTTCGCGGGACATTGCGAACGAAAGGCAACAACAAAAAGTGCCGACAACTTTGGCTCTCAGTTACTGGTTTTTTTTTACATTTATATTCTTTTTTCCCCCCTTTTTTTGGGTTGGTAAGCCTTTGCCGTCTTCAAGTCTGAATCTCCGTCGCCGTCTTAAGTGGCAAAGTTTTTTTTTTGCGTCCTCTACAGGAGGCGACGTGATATTCCTTCTCCCCTCTCCCTTAGCCGATTCTTGGCTGCCTTTGTTTTATATTTATTTCTTTGTCCGCAAAAGACTCCGGCTCCGGCTGTCTGTAAGAATTCTGTAATATTTTGAGACGGCCGCTGCTGTAATTTAGCGACTGCATTTGTTGCGTTTTGCGGTTTGAAAGAATAAAAAAACAAAACAAAAAAAATACAACAAAAGCTGCGAGTCCAAAATGATTAATATGGATTTTAGGATACCCTACTGATACTTTAATTTATTTAATTTTTTATACCCTTCCAGGGTATTATAATTTCAGTCAGAAGCTTGCAACGCAGTGAAGGAGCCATTTCCGACCCTATAAACCATATATATTCTTGATCAGCATCAACAGCCCAGTCGTTCTAGCCATGTCCGGTCGAAAAATAAATTTTTCACATTTTTCCGAAAATTGAAAATTTTATAAGGGGTTACATCATTAAAATTGCCAAAATTTGACAAATTATTGAATTTTTTAAATTTGAAAACTGAGTATGCAGATTTGTTAGTGCTATAAAAACTTGCACAGAAATCGTTTTGGAATTGAAATTAATGAATTTTTGGCTTAGCTATGATATTTTAAATCCTATGATTATTTACCCGATATATTAGCATATACTCATATTGATTTTTGTTTTTTGTGACTTGTCTGTATCTATATAACTTTTCTCTAAATTAAATAGCTGATCACCTTGATACCTTCGTATATGCCTTTGGGGATTATTGATTATTGTACAGACATCCTGATCAAATTACTTCTCCTTACCTCACTTTTTAGGGTATATAAAAAACGTAAAAAACTGCACTTTTTCTGATTGTTTTTTTTTTTGTAGTAGTTGCTGTTGTTGTTTTTGTGGTTTTTTCGGTCAACTTCATTTACTGCACTTCACCTCGCTGCACTGCACCGAAATGCACCGAAATGCAATGCACTTCACTCCACTTAACGTAACAGCGCAGGCGCGTAATTTGCTGCCACGGCGGAGTTGCTATTGTTATTGGCCCGAGCTGCATTACTTTTTTTTGTATTTTTTTTGGGGTCTCACGTGCAACAGCACGGCGGCTTGCAGCTAATTAACATTTTGGCTTGGCTTTGCAATCAGAAACCAAATTTATGCATTGTGCACCACCGAAGGCAGCTTCAAGTGTCCTTGAAGTGTTGTACAAAGACGAGGGCAGCCCAAAACGGGTGGGATTGGAGGGGGGAGTTACAGAGTTAACCAACTTAGTATTAACAAAACAGAAAACCAAATAAAAGCAGCTAACTGGGTTGAGTTTTTGAATAAGGTTGCACAGGAAAAAGAATTGAGTTTAATTTATGCGCTTTTAAAGGGGTTTAGTAATTATGGAAATCAGTCTATCAATAATTTAAATGCAATTTATTAATTTAAATGGAAAAGTGTATAAAAATCTTACAAATTAAAGAAATAATAAGATCCTAAGATAAGTTATTCGGGTTTTAAAATGTTTCTTTTTAAAGTTTGACTTTATATTTTAAAACCTTGTTTTACGAGACTTTAATGTATATCATTTATAGCTTTAATATATTGCAATTTTTAGTAGTCCCAATTTCTGCATTTGATATAATAAAATTATAAATTTAAAAGCCTTTTGATAGATATTAAATGTGGCTCACGCTTACTAATTAATTCCTAAATTGTTTCCTATATTTTGTATATATTTTAAACACACGAAATACCAGAAAAATTACCTCTAAATATATCTAACAAATTTCATAATTATTTTAGCTTTAATCTAAATTTTATATCTTCTTGATCTTATCGTGATTTCTTGTAGTGTATATATCAAAACATTTTCTAGTTAAGCACAGAGTAGCAGTAGAGAAACAAGTGAAACTTGTGTTCAACTTGCAACCAGCAGCTGTGCCACAAAGACGACACAGTTGTTGTTGTTGTTTTTGTTGTTTAACCCACCTAAGACCCTCCCCCTCGCTCCATCCTTCCTCCTATTCTACAATTCCTCCCCCCCCCAGCTCTAAGCTTCCAGGGAATTTTCCCCCCCCTGGCTTGCCTTGGGAAAACAAAAGCAAAAGTGTCACCGCTTCGACTTCACAAGTATTTTCATTCCAAGCTGAGGGACAAATTTCTAGCTAAAAGATTGTCAAGCAGCAGCAGTAGCAGCTGTCAACACATATTTGTTGGCTAATTAAATGAGAAGAGGGGCTGTCCCCAGGGGGGAGGGTAGGGAAACTCCACCGAAATTGACTATTACAACTTGCAGGCAAATAAAAAAAATAATACAACACAAGAATAAACCTTGAGAGGAGCGACAATATAAATTTCCTTTGATTACTCGCTGTTAGTTACTGTTTACAGAGAAACTTTGCAAGTTAGTTTAGTTTTGTTTTGTTATTATTTCTTTTTTTCGGGGTTATTTCCTGTGTGATAGGTATCTTTAAATAAAGAACAAGATGAATATTTCATTAGAAAAATATATAAAATGTTGAACTATGATCTTTAGGTAAGGGTTTTAATCAAGGAAAATAATTATTTGTGAATATTTCTAGTAAAACTTAATAAAAACCCTATAAATATCATTTCTCTGTAAAGTTCAGTTCGATATAAAATATATATTTCAATTTCCACCCATTAATATATCTTTATTTTCACCAACGAACTTCCCTCAAAAAATACGTTCTTGTGCATCAGAGGTATGCAATTTTCCTCTTAAAATCATCATATATCGCTCTAAGCTCTGTACATACATTTATCCCTCACAAAAATCTAAATGAAATTGACATTTCAATTGCAAAGAGCCGTAAGAGTGAAAAAGCAATGTGAATAATAACAAAATTTGCATGCAATTGATGCTGCCAGCGCGTCAAACTCAATCATTTTCGGGCGGAAGGAAAAGGGAGCTAAATTCAAGATAGAAATCATCTCTGATGAGGAAGAAGGGACGACTTTTGGGGGGAGGGGGAAGGCTAAAAAAATAAATAAAAAAAAAAATATGCAAAAAACTCTTGCCTAGCCCCGAGTTGCATGTGAGAAATGCTTTTGAAATGTGCGCCACGTACGCGTTGCAATAAGAAATCCATTGAAAAATATATTGAAATTTTTTGGTTTATTTATTTTTTTCCTCTGTTGTTGTGCCTTTTGCAACAGCAACAATAATAACAAAAGGATAATGGAGCTGCAAACATTTGGCAGCGATTTGTTAAACTGCAAAATGCA